ACACTTAGTAACATTTCATTTCTCACAAGGCCCTTTCCGGAAGTCCCCATTATGACCGGGAATGGAGCCACTGAAGCTCAGGCCCGGTTACCTGAAGGAGCATCTCCTTCCATGTGTGCCTGCCCGCCCCCTAAGGTGTGGGGCAGAGGCCCTTCCCTGGGAGCCCTTCTTGAAGATCAGAGGCGGCTACTGGCAGAAGGGCCTTCTCTGCAGTGGCGCCGATTGTGGGACACGCTCCCCAGAGAGGTTTCGCCTGGCCTGGGCCGCCGCTTCGTTCTTCTCGGTGCCAGGCTAAAACCTTGTTATTCCCCCAGGGTTTAAGGGTTGACTGTTTTAATATGGGTTTTATTGCTGATTGGCTAAGAATTTGACTAGGGATGCTGTGTTTTATTCTGTTTTGTCTTACTGTTAAGCCGTCTCGAGACCACGGCAAGGGACGGTCTAAAAAAGTTTTAAATGAGTAACTAAATAAATAAAATGAACTTTGGATGTGCATCTCTTCTCCCATGTATGGCCCACTCCATTCCTGCTCTAGGAAGTCTTTGTTTCATTTATTTCAATTTATATCCTGCCTTTTTCCTACAGACTCTCAGTTTACATCTCCTCCTCCATCTTATTCCCAAAACAACAGCCCTGTGAGGTAGGTTGGGCTGAGAGTCTGTGACTGGCCCAGAGTCACCCAGGTGGCTCCATGGCTGAGCGGGGACTTGAACCCGGATCGCCTGAGTCCCAGTCCCAGGCTCTTCACCACTGCACCACACTGGCTCTCAATTAATTGGAATCAATGTGCCAGAAATGTGCCAGCCCTCTTCCCTCCTCCGAGACCCGGCAGCCGCCCTCGGGGGCCAGCGCTGCCGGGGCTGCTGAGCCCATGTGCCACGGGCACGGCTGCACAGGGCCCTTCCTGCGGGCACGCCGGAGGCCGGGGAGAAGGAGGCACTGCAGCTGCCGGCGGGCCGAGGTCCTCCAGGGCGAGATGCAGAGGCGGAAAGGGCCGCTGCAGCCGGCCCCTCGAGTCCCCGGGGGCCCCTTGAGGCGGCCAGGTGCACGGCTTCCACCGGGGGCCCACAAGACTCCCCCCCCCCAACGCCGTGCCTTCCCAGCGGCTCCGCATTCCCAGCATGTCAGGGCAACCACGCTCTTTCCCAACCTTTCTATTTTTAAACGACTGACACGGTGCTCGAGATCTTGCAAGCGCGAGGCAGAAAACGCAGCGGTGCCGAGCGACTCCGCTCACGGCCGCCGGAGCCCACAGGCACGTCCAAGAGGCCCCCGGCGCGGGCCACCCCACCGCCTGGCCGAGCCCGCGTCCCGGATCCTGCCCCGCTCAGGAGCGTTCGGGGGTCGGTTTGGGGCCGGCACCGGCTCGGCCGAGAGGCAGCGGGTACAGAGCAGTCCTCCGAGCACACCCGGTTTGCACGGACACATGGGCACCAGCAGGACGGTGGGGGCCACCTGCACCTACACCCACCATCCCCGAGTGCCGTGGGGCCTGAGCTTGCTCACGGGGGCCAGCTCTGGGGGGCCCGGGCGCTAGGACTCCTCCGGAGGGCTCCTTCCTGCAGAGCGTCCCGTGGGCTGGGAGGGGAGGGGGCCTGGCCAGCGGGACAGGTGGCCGGTGCGGCCCCCTTGGGCTCAGTGCCTTCCCTCCTGCCGGCGCTCAAGGTGAAACGCTTGGCTAAAACTCCTGAGCAGGCTCAGCAGCCGTGGCATCGGAGGGCCTTTGGCGGATCAGGCACGAGCAGAGAGCACGGAACTGGGCTCTTACGGGAAACCAGTGCTCGGCTTGGCCCGTGAATTCGGAAGGAGCCGTGAAGTGGCCGAGTTTGCTGATGGCACCTCATGATTAAGGGGGGGTTGGTTCGGATCCCTCCTAACTGGGAAAACGGACCCAAACTGGCAAAACTGGTTGCATAGCCAGAGGTGTGGCTTCTAGATCAAGAGAGGTATTACTGCCACTCTACGCGACTCCGGTGCGCCTGCAACTGGAGTATTGTGCTCAGTTTTGGGCCCCTCATTGCAGAAAGGATATAGCCAGGTTAGAGTCAGTGCAGTGCAGGGCCACAAGGCTGGTGGCCGGTTTGCAGGGGGTGGGGTATGAGGCGAGGCTGAGGGAACGGGGTCTCTTCAGCCTGGAGAAGAGGTGGCTCAGAGGGGGGCTGTTGGCAACATGCAGGTATGTGAGGGGGTGTCACACGGAGGTGGGGAGAGACCCGTTCTCCCCTGCAGAGGAAGGCAGGACGCGCTCCCACGGAGCAAAGCTCAGGGAACCCAGGTCCAATTTGGGTGCCAGGAAGCACTTCATGACAGTCAGGACCCCGAGCGTGTGGAGTGGGCTTTCCCGAGAGGTGGTTGAGGCCTCATCGATGTGGGTGTTCAAGGATAGGCTGGGCATGCACATGGTGGGCATGTCGTGAGCGGACCCGGCTGCATCCTGGGGTCAGACTAGATGGCCCAGGGGACCGTTCTGACCCTCTCTGCTGCACATTTGGGCAAGAACATGCAACCTTCAAGGTTATGGGTTTTCCCGGTTGCAATGCATGGCAGTGAAAGCTGGACCGTAAGGAAGGCTGAGCGCCAAAGGATTGAGACCTCTGAATTGTGGTGCTGGAGGAGACTCTGCGAGTCCCTTGGACAGCAAGGCGCTCGAACCGGTCAGTCCTGGAGGAGATCAACCCCGACTGCTCTTTGGAAGGCCAGATCCTGAAGATGAAACTCAAATACTTTGGCCACCTAATGAGGACGGACTCCCTGGAGAAGAGCCTGATGCCGGGAGTAATTGATGGCACGAGGAGAAGGGGGCAGCAGAGGAGGAGGTGGCTGGACGAGGTCCCTGGGGCGGTGGGTGGGACTGGGTGGACTCCGGGGGATGGCGGAGGACGGGAAGGCCCAGAGGAATGTGGTCCATGGGGTCGCAATGGGTCGGGCGCGACCTCGCAACTAGCAACAGAAATGCAACCTTCACGTCTGGGCTGAAGGGCCCTGAGCTGGCAGAGGCTGGCAGAGGGATCATAGACCCACAGAATCCTAGCAGAGCCGGAAGGGGCCCTGAAGGCCATCCAGTCCACCCCGCTGCTGCTGCAGGACACCCAGTGGCACTATCCCACTCAGAGGGCTGCCCCGTTTCTTTTCAATGCCTCCAGTGAGGGAGAGCCCCCACCTCTCCCGGCAGCTGGTCCCACGGTTGTGTTGCTCTGACCGTGAGGAAGCTTTTTCCGATGTCCGGCCTGAATCTGGGTTGCCGCACCTTGAATTGGTTAGTTAGTTAGTTAGAAAATGTCTAGGCCGCCCCATTCGCCGAAGCCTCGGGGTGGCTTACAAATAAATAAATAAATTAAAATACATAAACAACAATATAAAATACATGTAACTGTTCCATGTCCTGCACTCTGGCATCAGCATGAAGAGATTATTATATTATTATTATTATTATTATTATTAGAACATTTCTATGCCGCCCCTTGCCGAAGCCTTGGGGCGGCTTACAAACACAATAAAATACAATAAAATACAAAAAAAAATACAAAAATAACAATATAAAATTAAAATTAGCAATATAAAATAAACAAAAATATAAAATATAAAAGAAGTCGCCCTGGCCAGATAAATAAGCAAATCTTGTTCTTGGCCTCCCTCTTTGTGGCAGCCTTAGAGGTCCTTCTAGAGGATCTCAAGTCCCCCACCCCCCAGATCCTGGGCGGTGGTGGCCCGAGGGGCCGGCCAGGGCCCCGCTGCTGCGAAATCAGTGTGCCGCATGTGGGGCCCGGCGAGGGCTGGAACAGCGAACCGAAGTGCTGGGATCACCCACGCTCGGCTCTGGTTGCCGCAGCGGGAAAGTCCACCGGAGAGCTGGGAAAGGGGCAGAGGCGGAACGGAAGAGATCCAGAGGATGGCACACACACGAGGCGCTTGCTCCTCCTCTGTTCCTGACAGCGCCTGCTGCGAAGGGGGATTCTCAGGGTGCCCAGGGGGGCCTGTGCTGAGCCGGCAGGGGCTGATGGGCATTCCGGGCCCAGCCCCCTGGAGCCGCAAGTGGCAGGACCGAGGCCCGGCCCGAAGAAGAGCGAACCACGGGAGAACCGGCCTCCGGGAGGGAGGCAGACGGCCCATCTGCCAGGAGGACAAACCAGGCTTCCCTCCCTCTCCCGGCGGCCGGTTCTGCCCACTGGCTAGCCGCCCCCCGAGCCTGCTTGCCCGCCGGCAGCAGGGGCAGGGCCTCGCTGGCTGTGCCCCCCACGGCAGAATCAGGCCGTGTGCGCAGGATGCTCCCGGTTGCAGGGTGGCCCCAATACCTCCTCTGAGGAAGATTTTGGTCCTCGCCCCATGCCAGGCCCCTGCCATGCCAGCTGAGCCTTTCCCCACGCAGGGGGCGCATGCAGGCCCCGCGGCAAGGTCGGCCGCAGGGGAAGCAGGCGGCCCGCATGCAGGCGGGGGGGCCCAGCTGCAGCGCCCGGCCGGTGCTGCTGCCGCACGTGTGAATCGGCGCACGCGTGTCCCCGGGAAAGAGCAGCGGGAGAAGCGAAGGGAAGCGGGCCGCAGGAAGAGGTCGGCCGAGCCGGGCGTGCGAAGGCCCGCAAGGTCCCTTCCCGGCGTCGCACGGTGGATGATGGGATGCGGGTGCAGGGAGCCGGACGGGGCGGGTGGCAGGCGCACTCCCGGGCTGGGGGGACCCCTGACCCGGGCGGCGGGGCTCTCCCCCGGGAGGGGCGGCCGGGCCCCCGCCCGCGTCCCGCCGCGCCCCCCGCCCGACCCTCCCGGGAGTGCGCGGCGCCGCTGCACGTGTGGACGGCGGGGGCGGGGCGCGCGGCCGGGGCGGGGCCGTGACGCGGGGGGCGGCGCTACG